AACCCTAACCCTAACCCTAACCCTAACCCTAACCCTAACCCTAACCCTAACCCTAACCCTAACCCTAACCCTAACCCTAACCCTAACCCTAACCCTAACCCTAACCCTAACCCTAGACAAGAGTCTACCAACACCAGCAGCGATCTATCGTTGTCCGTACCACAGTGGTGCGACCTCTGGTCAACACTTGGAGAAGTCTGACTGGAGGTGACAAGCTCGCGATACGGAGGAACGACGAGCCAGAGGGGTATAACCCGAGCCAGCTGATTTGCAATCTGGTTCCAATGCATAGGTCTCACATCATATATTATGCAGTGTAGGGGTGTGTGTGTGTGTATGTGCCAGTCGACGGATATAAGTAGAATGAAAAGATACACCGGATGAAGATTTGGCACCTAACCTCTCGCCTTCTGAACCATTCGTATTGCTTCACGGAGACTGGTGAAGAGACCACTTTTGAGGCCGCCAAGATCCTCAAGTGGCTGTCCTTTCTTTTCTCCGTCTCTGTATCTCCATATGCCGTCGTCATCAACCAGGCCAAATGCGAGGGTATTTTGATTAGTATCTAGCCCGTTGAGCCACTCTTCGACAATGGCAGGAGAATCGACCATGATGTTGATCTCCTGACTATGGAACCAAGACTGTGTGTCTGTTATCCTCGTTCAGAGATACAGCTTCGCCTTTCATTGATTATGAACTACCTTGATTTCCATTTCCCACAATCCCGACTTGATCATCGACCGCACAAAACTTCACTAAAGTGAACGTTCAGTTGGTACCGTCACATGACAGAAAGATACACACCGTGGCAGTTGCGTTGCTTGACTCTTGCATTCATCGGCTTGATCTGATCCTTTCCGGTGTACCAATATACCTTGAGGTTCTTCTCATGGGTTTGGCCCTCTTCCTTCAATATGCGATACATTTTGAATACAACTTGCTCATTTGTTCCGCCCTGGCCTGGAATCATCTCTCCTTGGTCGTTGAAGCCTGTTCAGGATGTGAGGTGATCAATTTGGCTTCTTTCAAGTCTGGTTTACCCAAATCCAGAAAAAGAACAACCTCGACACCTCTGCGGCACGCAGACAGTGCGGCCGCAACGACCGGAGCGGCGTTGAACGTTGGCGTCTGGATGATCACTTTCCGTTGAGCATAGCGAAATGCTCCCAGCCATGCAGCATTTTGGGGCGTGCGGATGTCTTTATGTCCAGGGGCTACGAAGCATGTGAGGAGACGCGACGTTGGCAAATGATATGGCCTACCGCCATGCGGACGACGGCTCACCATGGCAATCGGTACGGGGTCATGAGGCTTGTGCAGGATATGGGGCTTGAAGTCTCCATCTAATTCAGTGGCAGTCGGATCCACCTCACAATTATTCCCGAGGTCTAGAAGTTGTATCAGCGCTGCATCTTCAAATCCAACCACAAATGCCTTACTTAAGTGGGCAGCTACCTTCGCTAACGAGGTATGTCTAACTAGTACAGAGTCGAAAGAATTTGCTCTGGAGGTGAGGTGGGAGTCGTGGGGATTCTGCACTGAGACATGTACTAAATATGCAGGTCAGCCAGACACACACCGTCATTAGCTGAAGCACATGCAAGGATGACGAGCCGAATTTTCTCCTGTAGCATGATCAGGTGAATCATGGAGCATGACCGCATCGACATGGCCACCAGGGATGTTGGATAAGACTTCAGTGGTGGCAAACCTGGCCGGACCTGGATCTGAGATAGTCTTGATATTGGCAGCACCGTCAGATCTAAGAGGCACGAGTTTCTCGGGAGAGGGAGATAAGCTAGTGGGAGATCCATTTTGAGTGTGGGGCACTGCCGCCGTGCTTCCCTCCAGAGCAGGTGTCTTCTCAGTTGCATTTCTCTGGTTTTCATGCAGGCTGTGGGCTCGGGAACGCATTTCGGTTGGACTGTCCACCATAGGCGCATCCAAATTGTTCAGGACAAGTGGTTCGGTTGGCATGTTGACATGATGAAGAGTGGCAGGCCGCCTCGGGCCAGCTGCTGTTGGGTCACGAGACCACGACCAAGTGAATCCCCGTGAAGGCATGCGCTCCTCCGAGGGATTCCTTCGTAGTAGTGTATCCCGCATATTCCATCCTCTCGACGGCTCTGCGGTGACTGGGCTCTGTTGGAATGCTTCACGTACGGAGTCCCACAAATCTGCTCCCCGTGAGCGTGGAGCCATAGTCGGATCGGTCGGAGAAGCGTTAACGTGGAATGCTTCTCGGACGGTGTCCCAGAGCTCTGCACCGCGATTATGCATTCGTTGCTGACGCTCGCGTTCAAGCTCCTCCAGTAGTTCAGTGTGTTGCCGCCTTAGATCGCCTCGTGCTCGTCGTGACGCTCCTTCAATGTCTTTACAGGCGATATATGGATTCTTCTTCCCGAACAGATACCGCCTCGCGGGGGCAGGTAAGGACGCGTCTCCAATCTGCTTTAGTAACGATGGTAGCGGTGGTCTGAGTGCGTTGTTCCAGGATAACATTGCCATGTCAAAGAGGGAGTCAACAACTGGCCCTTCAAGGTGGACCATCATTTCCATGTTCTTGAGAACGTATCAGTCAAATACATAGACATTGGGGACTGATGAAATGACATACAGGTCTGTCTTGGATATTGTTACTGTTCAAAAGCGCAACCTTCCGGTCAACGATAAGGTACTTCGAATGAAATGTTCCGAGCAGGGGACGGTGGAAATTCTGACTGTAGTTAGCAGTGTTGGATTGGGCTTAGGGAGATGATCGTACGATGACTTCCATCTGAATGTTCGGAATCTCAGCAGCTTCTGGGAGATCGACTGCCTTCCACCCTGCGGCCGGTACAGGGGTGTGATTGTGAACAAACTGCCGAAGGGCGCCACGATCATACATAAGCTTGACGATAACTTTGCGCTTTTTCTCTCCTGCATTCTTTGACAGCTGGCGGAGAGCCTCCCTGATCTTGGTGACGGAGCGAGACGGCTGCCAATAGTTCGTGGCCAGAATAACCTCACGCTCTGCTCTGACGATAACATCATAATAATGCTGCATGATGTCGGGTATACTGGAGATGTATGAGGAAAATAAATAAGCTATTTGAGAGAGCTCTGCGTACACGGATATGATCGATAATGGGATGACACCAGTAGATCCGAGCAAGGGAGGAGAGACCAAGCCTGACATTGGATCTCGCTCTAAACACAAGAGTACGTCGGCATACATCTGATGATCATTAAGTACCGGTGCAGAGTCCGAGATTGAAACACACCTTGAGAAACAGATCGCTTGGGCGCTTCTGAAACTTTCCGCATGTTGCTACCCGGTCCAGCATTTCTTCTGTGAGCTCGCCCTGACCATGATGTAGCTCCCTCTTGACCTCATAACGGAAGAAGAGCCTCTTGAATAGGTTAGGTTTAGGGAAGAGCTTTCGAGGGATCTTATGGGGCGCCTTGTTCGGGTGTTTGTGGAGGTAGGATGTGACCGTCTCTTCTTTGTGACATAGATCCACTACGCGTTGGTTGACCATTTCAAATAGTGCAATTGAGAGGAAAGAGCAAGTGAGAAAAGAGCGGGTTATATGCTAGAGCGATATGAAACTGCGCGGACAAAAGCGATGCGCATACGAGGATGAGGAGAAGGTGGACTGCGGTTTTCCTGGCGCCAAGTACTGATATCATGATCGATCGCGTGAATAGCCGTTTTGATCGCGTGAATATTAGAGTGGGGTCGTGCGCTGGGTTGTGACGCGTGTTCAACATGCGGCGTACGTCAGCATAATGACACATGCAACTTATTTCTCAGCCACACATATCATTAACAACATTCATTTATTCCAACTCATCCCCAAAATCCAATCCTTTAACAATCATCGTATTTCCGTGTCAAAGTACCACCTCTCAATAGTCTTCCACATGCTGAGTCTAGCTGCACCAGGTTGACCACCAACATACGTTCCCCGCACTACTTGCAGGCACTCGAACCCCCCTCTGAGCCCATTCCTGCCCAGCATATACGTCTCCTGGTCGACTATGATCCCACTAGCTAGAGAAGCGAATGAAGACACGCGTGGGAAAGCGTGGTGGTATCTTGATATTCCCGTCCCCTGGTTGACCTCCAAAACTACGCAATCCAAAAAACTTTTGTGCTGCGTGGCCATCTACCTTCTTGGCACCGTGCACGCGAATGTCGTCCATCATTCTACTGGAAAGCGCGGCTTGCGAACTGTCCAGACTGACGATATTACGGGTGTCTTGTACTGAATTTGGATGGCATCCGCGAACCTCCCTCCCAGACTAGCGATATGAGCATCCCCGGCAAAAGATTCAAGGTCTGTACCTTGTCCGCGAGCGATCCTCTCTATTGTGAGGCGCAGCACCTCATTCGCCGGCATATTGGGAACGAGGTTAGTCTGCCCATCTTGACCCATCATCGGTATAGTCTAACTCTCTTCTGAAGGGAATCGCAGATATCTTGTTACGAAACTTGCCAGAGCCACTCGAGTTCAATTCCCCACGGGTTAACGGAGTGGATGATCCGCGGAATGGGGTTTTGATGAGGCTGGGCCTACACCGCCGGTACGATGTGGGCGCACTCGCTATGATGGTGGTACGTACCTGATAGCACTATTAACCGATGCCATCTCATGTACCATGTCCAGACTCCATACTGCGTCCTCGACACCAATGACATTGTTGCCCCGGCGTCTAGAATCTTGAAGCCAGGAACGGCATACCCCGCGCACGCGCGCTATACTGGCCAATGGTTCAATATGGCGACATTCCAGGAGGATGCTGTCCATGGCATCCCTGACAACAGTGATGCTGCCTTTGGCACCAAGTTCGTTGAAGAGTTGGATCGCTTTGCAATCACTGGACCGTGCACCGATGACGCATTGATGACGATGAAGAAAATCCGGACGAAGTCCTCGGACTGTCGGGGAGTGTTGAACCACAACCGTCACCTGTATCTCCCTCCCCTCCCCCCTCTAACTCCAGCCAATCGGATGCCTCCCCCACTTCGCCCAACTCTCATGTCGAGCTCACCAGCGATTTTACGGATGACGCAAGTGATGATGGACACAGCCCGATTGATCCCGTAACCCCACCATCCGCACACTTGGTGTTGTACCATTGGATCTGCGCCTTCACGATTGCGTTCAGTCACAATCCGCCCCAGCTGACGCGTTGTCCCTCGAAACGAAGACCAGAAAAGGATATCTATAAACCCCTGCCCTCCATCCAGGCCAACGACGAACAATCCGAAGACGAATTCGATACCCCAGACGACGACGACAAATCATTGTCTCCAGACGTCTATCGCAAGAACATTTACCCCGTGATCGTGGCGCTTTGGGCTGGTGTGAAGCGGGCAGAACGGCACTCTGCTACCGCACCCTGGGCAAATCAGGTTTCCTTCCCATAGCTTCAGATAAGGAACCTTTACACAGGTTATGTTGGTCAGTGTGCTCGCCGCGGCGGCCACACAAGGGCGACAGTCAGACGACGATGAAGAGATCCCTGATCCTGATGCGCTGGCCTGTCAGATTGCAATCGCTATCAGCCATGCGAGCCAAGCATGTACGCGTGTCTGTTGTGATAAGTTTTCCGCGATGTTCTGGAATGGACAATGCCGAAGTCTGTATAGCAACTCATGGCGGTATCATTAATATGCTATTGTTCAATATGCATGGAAGTGATCTGTGATCGATATAGTCGCAACTCCATTAGTCCACAGACGCGTTGTCACCGGGTCCATCGTCAGGAGTAATCTCCCAATAGGGGTTCTGAATCCCTGTCCGGATTTTGGCAAGAAAGAGGCTGGCTTGTGGTACCATCCAGCCATGAACGGGATGCAGAAGCTCCAAAGCCATGGCGATGGTTGACTTATCGGCTCTTTGTACTTCATCATGCCAACGTACTCAAACTATGGGGGATACATCCCAGAAGAACCCCAATCGAGTAGCCAGACGGTACCGTCACGCGATATGCGTATGTTGTGCATACTGATATCGCCGTGAGTGAACACCAATGGCATAGAGGAGTCGAAGTGTGGAAGCTTCTTTTCGTCTAGCTCATAGTGGAACCAATTTTTAGCCATGTCTACAGCAAGAGCGCGCTTGTGCTCGAACCAATCGTAAAGGTCCGCATACGAGTTGAACGGTCCCGCCGGACCCTCGCCAAATTCGGTTCCAATGCAGCGAACAGGCTTCTCAGTCGCATCGACTGGACCCGGTATATCGGGCACAGGAGGCTTCCACGTGCGTAATTCTCGAATGTATCGGCGTATGGTCCACATGATTCGACACTTCCCAAACAGGCTGAGGTTGGGCCATAGAGTGTAAAAATCCTCGCCGTCGATGTAGTCCATAACAAAAAACATCGTTCTGTCGCGAATTAGGCATTCATGTACTCGTGGAGTTGGAATCGAAGTTTGAGTGGAAATGAGGCGCATCGTATAAGGCTCGAATTGTCTGTCCCGCCAGTCCATGCATTTGACCGCGACACTTTCGGACATCCGGGAGACATTATGACCGAATACGCCAAGACCATCTTCTTCAAGGCAACCAAGCCTTGCCTTCTCCCACTGACCACTCTTATAGAAGTGGTCTATATCGTCAAGAGTAATGGTGGGTGCAGACGGCTCGCAAAACTGCAAAGGTCAATGAAGCGCCGTTGCTTGCAGCAGTTCTTACCTTTACGTTTGGCTGTTTCGAACCCGTCAGAGTATCCCACAGCCATTGCACCCAGTAAGACATGCTGCTTGTCAATATCAATGCAGACTGTTTGAGAGATTGATGAGCGGGACAGTGATATGCGTACGAGGAGATCGAAACTCAAGTTACTCTCAGAAGCACAGCATTTTGCCTCCATGGTCACGTCTGACTCCCACTCTTTTGTTCCACTCCCGCGCTCTTCGTTACCTTCACGCCAGTCATGTTCCATTGACGCCGCCCTATAGATGACTCCTATCATCAACTACAAAGTCGAGCACCAATGGAAAATTGATCGGCTACCTCTGGTTCTTGCTGGCGTAGGCAGGCTATGCATTTAACTATTGTGACTGCTTCTGTCGGCTAAGAACAGACAATAAGGAGGTTCAAGCGCCTCCCACAGTCCCTTCTGGCTCGGGAAATGCTTTGCTGTTTGCTGGCAGACATGTTCCTATAAATACAACCTGTTTCGAACGTCCAACCCCTCCTCACCCCAGTAAACACGCCGCCCAATCTAGTCGCATACTAAACACTCCACCATGTCTATCTTTCAAGCTGGCGAACAGGTGGCTAGGCTTGCATTAGACCAGCATGCCCGCCAGGCCGCTAACCCTGAGAGTCGTGAGTACAAAACAGAGCATGTAGCATGTTATCTGACATGATCCATGTGAGACAGGTGAGACCATCAATGTCACCAAGCTGAAGAACATTGATCGGCAGGCAGTTGTACATGGAGTGGTACTCCATGCAGCGAAGACCGGCACTCAGCTCAATTCCAGCCACTGGCGCCTTTTCCTTCAGCTGGTGGCCCAAGATCCAAGCCTGGGAATACAGGGATCGGCATCCGTCGAGCTCAATTCCAAGGCGCGACAGGCCGATGGTGGAACAGTGCTGATCATTACCAGTCGCACTTATCCATTCTCAGATGTGAAGAATACCGCCCTGTGTCGCAAGTTCTACTCGTTCGACGTAAGCCAGCGCGTCAAGGTTCACCAAGTCCTAAGCCTCATGTAGTGCCCCATCAATTTGAAGGCCAGGGATGGCTCGAAATCTGGGCCATATGGAACGATGTAGTCACTTATGAACAGACAATGGCGGAAACATTCCCATACAACATCCCTCGGGGTAACCTTTACGGTCGGCGTCGTAATGGGCTGCTCACGTACGTGCTCAGTCTGAGCCCATACATGATATATGCTGACGTGCTGCTACTGAATCAGCACTACGTGAAGGACACATCCAACGGCACTTGCACCCCACCTCACACTGAGATGTTGATCAAGAACAAGATGTGTAATGAGACCAATGTTGTACACCGCTATCTCTCTCAAAGTGGAAAACATCAGCTCATTTCTTAAAACTTGGGTATGACAACCATCTCTTTTATGGAGTAGGAGGGGGAGGATGCTGCTGCTGCTGCTCAGGCTGCTGCCGACCCTCTTGTTGTCGCGAATGGTGAGCTCGGACACTTCACAGTGGCTGCCAAACCGAACGGGTTCGTTCGCATCCTTGAAGGCGGCTGGACGCTCCTCCACCTCAGGTCCTAGATAATTCTTATGAGCACATGAATGCATATGGAAGTGAGGGAGCACATACAGAAATGACACATAAGAGCCTGGATCGGCCAGATAGCGGCATCACCCAGAGGGCAAATAGTGCTACTCTCAATTTACTTCCTGTGATTATGGTCCACATACTCACTTCATGGCAAGGGCATACGAGAGATACGTCGACTCAAGCAACATGTCAATTTCCCGCTCCGCCCTAGCTGTCCGCATCATCACTTTCATCGTCCGTAAAATTACTGCCGACCTGGACATCAGCCGCATGCACGCGCCACAGACCTAATTCGAATCCAGGCAAGTCATGGGAACTTTCAGAATAATTTCGCGGGCCCGTAGAAGTAACCGTCTGATACAATTGTCGTGGTTGGGAGCATCTGAATGAAACGTAGCAGTGACCGTGTCCAGCAGCTGAACAAACGCACCTCAGACGTGTTGCCACGCTGTCGCTGCTGTCTTCCAGAATGTGCAATTAGGAATCAAAGCGCCGCTCAAATTCACCCTAACGGGAGAGTTACGCAGTGGCTCTGCCGGACTGAACCAGGGCTGCCGTCCCAATCGCGGAGGTTGGCTAGCATCTCCGCCAGATGTCGACAAGCTGGGATATTTGAAGATGCCCGCGGCAGCAACAGTCCGTATTCAACGGTCCGCGGATCGTCCGAAGAGCCTCATCGTAGAGGTTGAACTCGAGGAAAGGGTTGTGATCTCGAGACAGATCTCCCAAATGGAAGAATCCGCAATATCCGGCTTCACGAACCCTCAAGTTGCGTGTCACAATGAGCCACCCGGGAAAGCGGAGACAAGCAAATGGGGACATGCAGTCCGTTTAGAGACTAGGAAGCAGTCTGCTGGCTGGTGGGTATCCCGAGGCACGTTTGAAGGAAGAAACGGTAGGATCCGAGCGATGGTGAAACGACAATTCAAGGTGAGTACTTTCAAAGAGATACAACCCTGTGTCGCAAGACCATTATTGAGAAAGAAGATGACAACAGGGCAGCCGATCCAATAGGATGAAACAGAGTGGACGAAGCACGATGAATGAGAGCATGGGTCGAGGTGTAAAACGCGCGGAGAGCGCATTGGTCTCTCTGTGTGGCAGACCAGTGATGTCCAGAGATGCCTCCGTTTGTTCCTAGTCAGGCAAGGACTGCCCAAATTTTCGACGACGGGCGCATAGGGTGCTCCTATAGGGCGGCTAACGAACACGGCCTCCCTCCCCGTGCCTTTTTACATGCATCAAACTGTTATAACCCCCCTCCCATCCTTCCCCATCCACACTCCCTTCCAAGCAACCGACGTAAAGTGAGGTATAATCGCCCTCGCATCGTCCAATGCTCCTGAGTTCTCGTCTCCAATCCCTCCATGCTATACAATCATCCGCCCGCAATGCCACCAATCGTGCTGCTCGAACCGTCGCGTGGTCTCCCACCTCCATCCGACAGGTATGCATCCAATTCATTCACATCACTCTAACTAACTCTAGAACAGCGTGGTAGAGGTCTTCGAGACTTTCGGTACATTGACGGCGAGGAAGTGGATCCACGAGCAAACGTGCGTACTCTCTTGGTCTACCCACCGCCCATGTTCCCCTCTCATCTTTCAGCAGGACTTCATCCTCTCCATCCTGAATGCCGGTCCAAATGCACGAGATTCCAAGTCGTATCTCGCCAGCTTCGCTCCTAAGCCCAAAAATCTTCCAGACACGAAAGCTGTCACCAATAACAACTCGACACTTCCCACTCTGCCAGACTATCGCGTCTCTCACACGGCCATACCCGACCTCTTGGTAGAAGAATCGCCCTTGTTGTCATCCTTGCTGGATCCAGTAACTCAGCATACGGCTCTCGTCAAGATTCAGGGTCCCTTCACGGACAGGCAACTGGATTCCATCGCGCTTGGCATGGTCTATCTCGAGAAGCTTGGTCTTGTTAGTGTCATCATTGTGGAAAACGACGAATGGGAGCGTGGGGAACCCGATGAGCGACTGAATGCTGTGGACGATGCTGAGCGCGTTGTCGTTGCTCTCGAGAAGCAGGGAGCCCGCGCTCGACCCGTATTGCAGTCCGTGGTTCGGCTGGGTCCCAAGAAGGGAGAAGGACTCGCCGCTGTGGACGAAGATCCTCTCGCCAACGCACACACCGAACCCGAAGACCTCGAATCTCTTCGTTCAGCTCTGCGGGCAGGTGAAATTCCGGTTCTGGCACCTTTAGCGCTCGATTCCCAGCTGCGCACCGTGAGGGTCGATGGCAACCTCGTCATATCCGCCCTAGCCCAAGGAATGGTGGAGGCGGCCCAGCTCGACGCAGCGAAGGAAGCAGTCCCACAGTCTGGTCATACCGCCCCAAATTCTTGCCAGGATCTTACGCCACTGCGCCTCATGATCATCAATCGCGAAGGCGGTGTCCCCTCATACGCTCGCAATGGTCTGCCACATTTACTGGTCAATCTCGAATCCGAATACCAACACATTCATGACACGTTCCTCTCTCAATGGGCCCATTCACACCCTACTGCGCTGCAGAACTTGGCTCTTTCCAAGCGATGCTTGAAATATATGCCGCCAACCTCCTCGGCTGTTATGGTCTCGCACCGGTCATCCCGCTCATTGATCGGCAATCTCATCACCAATAAGCCGGCGCAGTCATCCTCTCTCCCGCATGCTTTGCTCTCGGGACCGAAAGCTGTCACAGCTCATACCCCTACGTTGATCAGACATGGTCTTCCTATTACAATCATCAGGGACCCCTCTCAGATTGATCAAACCAAGATGACTGCACTGTTGGAGAAGTCATTCGGCCGTACTCTCATGGAGGATGCGTTCTACGAGCGCATCGAACGAGACCTCGACTTTGCTATCGTCTCAGGTGACTATCAAGGCGGTGCAATCGTGACCAAGGAGCGCGATCCGTCGAACCCTGATGGCACACCTATTGCGTACCTCGACAAGTTCGCTATGCTACCCTCCCTCCAAGGTGACGGTACGGTCGATTTCTTGTGGGTCGCCCTCCGTGACGAGTCTTACGGTCTCGGTCTACTTGACTCAAGGAACCCCAATGTTGGGGGTCTTGGTGGCCAGGGTATTGGGCGCGATCTCGTCTGGCGCAGTCGAGCCGACAATCCGGTCAATAAATGGTACTTTGAGAGGAGTACTGGCCACATGCGGCTTGGTAATTGGGTGCTGTTCTGGTGCGACGCCGAGGATCGCTTGACCAAAATCGAGCGCGGCCTTCGCAATAATCCAAAGACCGTGCCGGGGCATCGTGGGATTGTTGGACCATCATTCATTGAAAGTGACGAGGAAGGAAGACTTTTTAGATGGGCGAGCGTTGTAGAGAAGATACCCTCTGCGTGGTATCCCAAGGCAGCATGATTCAAGGATGTTGTAAAATTAATGTGCGGTTCGTTTTGTAGGCTATTACATGGGAAATTGTTGTGGCACATATATCGGGAACAAGACATCAGACCTGAAATGAAATGAAATTGACTCATGAATAGCCTTACTCCTCATCACTGGTCCAAGAGATAGCAAGCTCCCTGATATGAGCGATAACGAGGAGAAACTGGTGTGAGGAATCTATTTGCTCAATGGCGGCAGCCATTTGAGTCAATGCGGAGTCCTCACTTTCTTCTACAAGCTCTAGGTCAAACTGCTCATCGGCTGGGATGTTTTCCTTTTTGACTCGTTGTTCGCGTAGCCGCCTTCGGTCTCCCATGTCATGGAGTTGAGTTTGTGTTGCATCAAAGAAGGTCTTCAAAACGTCGGCGTCAACAGCACCGGACCCACCCAGAACTTTCATTGAATGGGCAAAGCTGGTGTAGAGAGATTGAAGATATGCTGGGTCGGTCTCAGTTTGCATTGCCTTCACCAGAGATTGGAAAACGCCACGAATCATGGCGCTGGAAAGCTGATTGCATTGCTGGGCGCACCGCAGCAGCTGAGGGATCATCCTAATTGAGATATATGTCAGCCAGACGTTATTACCAAACCGAAGTAGGCTAACATTGCCGCAGCTTCTCGCACTCCCTCATGCAGGACGAAAGACAGACCAGGAATAGCCAATTCGAGTGATTGAGGCAAATACGGCGAGAACTTCGGGCCGAGTTGAGCCGCGTATATGGCAAGATTCTGGAATGCGATACTTTTTTCTTCCAGCAACGCGGTCTTGATGCCTATTTCTTGTCCACCCAGCTCGATGATTGAATACGAATCAAAGTCAGCCGTGTCATTCTCGTCTAGAATATCCTGTCAATTGACTGACATGGAAACCATGACCCCGCCTTACAAAACACCCTTATTTCCGGTTTCAGAGCGGCAGCATGAAGGAGACCGGGCATGGCATAGGGCAGGTAAGGTTCGAAATCTTGACCAAGCGTCTGGCACACTTTAGACCACGTGCCCATGAGGTACTGTACGGCAGGATCATCATCATCGTGTTGCTCATCTGATCCAAGCTGTAATACGATTTCCCCCATGCAGTCAATGACGTACTCTGCATGTGGACAAGCAATTCGCAGAATTGGTGTGCATCCGGAGTGAAGCGGTCCTTGCCGACGGCAACAGCTTACAAAGGTCAGCAGACGGAAATACTGGTCCCAGATTGAACTAACCTATCAGGCCGGCACATTCCATGGCTTTTGCTCGCAGCAATCGATATTCCTTAGCCTTGGCATTTTGCATGACATGGACGAGCACGGGCATCACTGAGCCATAAAACTAAGGCAAGGTCAACAAGAAATGTTAAACCCCCACTTTGTCTTACCTGACTGAACAATTCTGCGGCTGCGTCCGCCACCATCGCCAGGGTCGTCAATGCTTGCTCTTGAACATACCTCTGCTCATTATCACTCAATAACGCCGCCAGCGCAGATACGAGGTCTGGTAGATAAGGCGCCAGAATGTTTTTGGGAACACCCTCACAGAAGTTTATCAAAGCGGACGCGGTGTGTGCATGTACGCTGGCATAAGCACTCAGTGACCCCACCCCATAGGCACGGAGAAAGGACACACCGTGCGACAGGATCACGCAACGCTCTGACAAGGATAGGTAGGATGGTGGCATGATAATCTTGCTGTATGGCACCCTGTGCGCATGTCAGGGTTTCACCAACAACCGTTGCAACAATAACCTACGTCCATGTCGGTGCAGAGTTGACCTCTGCGAAGCAGCATCAGACGCAAATTTCTAAGAAAGATGGAACGTGCTTACAGACACTGGCAAGCTGCAAAGCGAACACGGCCCTCCTGATCGCCGAACGCATTTGCAATGAAACTAGAATACCAACTGCATAAGATCATGCAGAAAGTTGGCATATCAGGGATCGTACTTCACAATAGTTCCTAGCTCTTGCTTCAGCACCTAATCACAGACGTCATTGCAGGGTCTTGACTACTTTTGTGAACAAATACATACAGCTGATCCGCCTTCTCCCAAGCTGGCCATGGCCATTAATCCTGCATGTCGTTGCTTCCACTCCGCACTTTGCAGCATCTGCGGTACATATTGAAAGGTCGCCGGGACTACGATTTTACCGCCTAGCAGCACATCAGGAGCAAACTAGCCCGGATACCGAGACGACTTGCCAAGACAAATAGTCAATCGATCTATAGCCTGTTCGAAGGCAAGAGGATAGCTATGGTCCTCATCATCTTGCGGCTATCCGAAAACGTTCAGCAAGGCTGAATGCTTCCGGTTTCTGCTTCGGCCGTACCTCGCTAGTCTCCCAGTCTTCCCATTCTTCAAGCTGCTCACCTGACATGCCTTCCATGCATATGCGCAATATCGATGCTGTCCAACCTGGAACTTTCTTGCATTGTGCGGATGCAGACTCGGACAGTGATACTAATAATTCAAGTCCCGCGCTTTGTGCTTGCTCACGGTCATCGTCAAGCACTGACATTGATCAGTGACAGAGAAACCCCGTGTGACACAGCTACTTACTGAGAGTGGGGTTCATAGGAGTTGGTGTAGTGGGACCCGGCCCGAAGAAAGACAGTACAAAGGAGAGCAGCTGTGCGAGATGAGGGGTAAAGAGCTTGGGACGAGAGCTTGCAAACGGTATAAAGGTTTGGAGAGCCAATGGTAGATGATCCTTTGGCATGGACGCGAGAGTGTTCAGAGCCAACGAAAATAAGGCAGATGCAGTTCCAGGTAAAGTCGGCAGAGACAAATAGGCAACGGTTGCTTCAAGCGAAATCAGTCGTACGTCCACGTTCAGATCCTTTAGGCCGCTCTCGAGGAGCGCCCCAACAGCGTTCTCGTCGAAATCGCTGATGATAGCTGGCGCCTCTGCCAAAATGCCAAACGCGTCTCGGCGCTTCTCCGCTGCAAGTTCCCCCACTCCTTGCGCATTGTTCGACAACCATTTCACTAGCTCATTCCAATGCCTCCCCATCTCGAGTCCATGCTCTACGAGCCTCGCTATCGCGCTGACCAATTTGCGCCTGCAAGTCGGTATTGGCTCCGTATCCAGCGCATGCAGGAGGGTCAACTGGAACAGCGCAAGCACAGGGGCCGAGAGGTTGGAGTACAATGTCCGAGGCAGAACATGGGAGGTGGACGGACCAGTCGCCGGTAAAGGTGGGAGTTCAAAGTCGAGATGACGACGAATCATTACGCTTATGAAGCTGCGCACCTGATTGAAGGTAAGCATCCTGCGTTCCGTCGAGGGATAGGTCTGTGCGAACCTCGGGAGCAGGGTGGGTGCGACACAACTCTGCTAAAGCAAGCATTGTCTGTTCTGGTTGCTGTGCAAGCCAATGATTCATAAATTCATTTTCAGCGCTGCGTTGAGGCGTGAGAATGCGACGCGATGAATGAGTATAGAGAACGTACTCTTTGCGGACTTGGTTGTCTGGGTCGAATAATTTGGCCATGAGCTCGGACATGACCGAGAGCAGGTCAGCCGATATGCCTGTGAGCGGTGACGATGACATCTCGATAGAAGTTTGCGGACGTGTATAGAGCGATTGAGGAGAGCGATATAGACGCGCTGTAGGGGTTTTGGAATGCAGACGTTGACGTACAAGCGGTGGATTCTATTTGAAGCGGGGGACAGTCATGGACGTAGCAGTACTAGTACCCTTTGCAGTTGAGCCGAACTCCGGTAGCGAGAGGACAGCTTCAAGCGAGGAAAACGAGAGAAGGTTGGTTCTTCCCGTATGGACATTCAGAACTTGGCACATGCATCCATTCTACCCCTGCACCCTTATGACTTGAAATTGTTATTACACGTCGATCATATGTGCTCCATTCTGCATTTTTGTACCAATTCGCCCGGCCATTACTTGATCTCCAGCACCGCCGTCGGTCATCCCGGCGTGGAATGCGAACGGTATCTGATGGTATATATAAGAGGACAAAAGAATACTACAGGGACACGTAAACGGTTGAACAATCACTTCGGCGCCTCCTCACTCTGGACAGATCCATCGATCAAGACGCAAGACTAAAAAGTATTACTACTTGTCCCCATATGTGCCGCCAAATTCTGACGAAGCGTTCCAACACCCGGTGCTCTTGATCCTAGGATCAGATATGGTCCGGGCGCATCAAGTAGCGGAGGCCGTGTCGCTTGCGTAGAGCAACCGATCACTGACGAATCCTGCAACTATATATTACAGTAAGTGTGACGTCGGAAGCGAGACCGCGGATCACGATTATTGATATAAGCTGGACAAAATGATCGTGAGATCCTCGTTCCCAGTCAACCTGGCCTTCTCAAATGAGAACCGCGGGCTCGTTGGTCTTTGAATTGTCCGACATGATTTGTACCATTCGTCCATGTATGTATCGGAAAACTGGACCATCACCGACGTTATACCTGAGGTGCATTCAAATCGCTGATGAAAGTGATGCGAGTGATCTCACCTGTAATAATTATTCGTTCCTTTGACGTTCATTGCTTTCCGGAACGTAAGGTTGATGCGTGGTGCAGCATTTGCTCGTTTAGGAACGCTATGCTCCCAGCAATGCTGCGTCTTCCCGCGCATAATCAAGAGATCTGAATCTCTCAGATCGGTCTTCAGAACGGGGACAGATTTGTCTGTCTTGGGCCTCATATAGAATGACCGCGTGGCACCCAAAGTCATACTTGCTATAGAGGGCTCTGGACCGAGAAAGGATTCGTCATCTGAATGATACGAAATTGAGTCTTTCCCATCGGCGTAGAACTGGATATTTGTGTCAGTACTGCCGCAGGCGTATCATGGCAATAGCGTACTAACATTGCATAGGACAAAGTTGAATGAAGAACCCGACACCTTTTCAACCTCGTTCTTCAGGGCTGCCAGTAAGGGCGGTATTGGACGCGGTTGCTTCTGGTACAACTTGTCCCGGCTATTTGTTATATCTTTGCCGTACACTGACGTATATCTTGGGGTTTTGACAGACATTCCTCGGACTGTATATTGTACGCGATACCAGGGAAGCGACTCGAGCAGATAGTCGTAGAGTTGTCGAGTCGAGTGGACGAACGGACGATAGAGCGTCATGTCCAGGTCCTTATCGACAATCGGTCTATGGATCAATGGAGAGTGCACGGTCAAGCTGAACCGTGGTGGTACGATCGTGAAAGTGGGCCCTCGGAAAGATAAAGCAAAGTCACAGGCCGGTAGGCTTGGCTTCATTCTCTTCGAAACTGTTCCTGGCAAGAGCGCCATGTCTGAATCCACGTCGCCATCGGCAGGAGCCTTACGTTTCAAAAAGTTGACTATTGACATGGGAGCAAGAGGGAGAGTAGGTGTGGATGGTAGGAAGGCAAGGGCGTAACCAAGTGAACATGACGGATTTGTGTTGGTGTTGGATCGAGGCGTACAGATCGCCAGCCGCCCCTGGATCAATCATCAGGAGAACGCGCCGTACTGACGTCATCAATCCCTGAAACCGGCTTTGTTGTCGTGGGTAAACACAGGCTGCAACTGGACGAATACGAGTATTCCGGCTACTGGGATAATTGCTGTAATAAAGAGAATATACAACACAAGGCACCGCCCTATGAGCGAATGTCCTGTTTTGTCGCTGGTTTCTATTTAGAAAAGTACCACTTCGTAAACAGACAGCGAACTTGATGATCCGTACAACCTTTCAACCCTCGTACCTATATGCAACCATGGCCTCGACCTTGTGATGATTAGTACTGAAGCTTCGCAACTTGACGGCTTCGGCCTTTCCAGCTTCAATGGCATGGGGATCAGTATCCAACCATTCTCCTTCGGGCACCTGGGCATCCGCCGAAGTGTATGCCAGGATGTTGAAAGCACATGGTTCGGACAGAGTGGGAAGATAAGTGACGGAAGAAACGATTTGTTTGATGATGGCGCGTATATCGGCGTTAATCTCGGACTCTGGCTTTGGAGGAGGGCCAGTTCTAGCGATCAGATCAGTAAGCACAGTTTTTGGGTCGGATTCGGGACAGACGCACCCATGACCGTCAGCTTCCGACTGCTCTGTAACATCCACATCAAACTGCCATCGTTCCAAGGTTACGCGGGATTCTTTGGACACAATTGCCAGGACCAGCCGAGCAATAGAGCCTTTCATCAACCACTCTAAACTAGCGTTAGAACAGGTGTTTCATCCTTGACAGGTATCGTCACATACCTCGTACTTGTGTTAAGATCTTCTCTAAATATGCCGACAATGCCTCATCCGATGTCACGAGAACCACGAGTCCGTACTTCTTGACCATGTTGAAGTCATCTGCAGGATATACACCTCGATTGAACAAGATGCTATTGACCACGTCACATCGCCAGCAAACCAAACAACTGTGCGACATACCTATTGACAGCATATTTGAAGAACTCCGTAACAATCTCCGTCGACCCCTTAAGGGTGATATTCGCCTTGGTCTTCTGGACGGCAGCTACAGGCATGATCGTATCTAAGAGTGTCGATAACCTCCCTCAACGAACCTAGATTAGGGCGTAGCTGAGTTGGGTGATATCTGTCGAGAAAGGCGGATGATGGACGGAAGTCGACCCAATTTACTTGTGCCAGTTCAATCCGGGGATAGGTTAAACGCGTTATGGAAAGACCCGCGCGGCTGGTCACATTGAGACACGTGATGACAGAAGATGCCTCCGCTTCCCATGCGCAAGGCGCGTCGCTTCAATTCCACCCCGCATCCATAGTGAACGAGTTCAATGCTGAACTTTCCAACCAAATATTTATAGATGTGGATCATAACAGGATGCTTCGATGAAGAGGATAAGCAGTCGAGCAAGCTTAGTAAATCCAGTCAATCTTGCCGGATGATCTCCAGATTCTCACCTATGCCCCAGAGGCCAAGCTGCTCAAACCTGGAATAACATACAGCATCGGCCGCAAGCCTCGTGAGGAGCCGCATCATCTGGTTATCAACAAGTCAGCTATATCTCGAGACCAAGGGAAGCTTGTGATCGGTTCGCATTTTATTGACGACGTTGTGAGTGCTATTCCATGCCATTTGTATCTGACATCAATAACACCCCAATGCAGAATTCCCCAGAAATTGTACCCACGATTCGATTTGTGAACTTGGCCCGTACCAAAAGTCATCTTATACGGAACAAAGAAACTGTACAGCAAAACATTGGTCAGAACGAGACGGCTGATATTGAACCCAACGATGCGCTTCAGCTGTCCAGCGGTAACCAGAAGGAACCGGGTGTAACACTTATGTATGCACCATACCTCGTCCGACTCCACGTGCAGACATTCACCTTTTCCCAGTTTTGAATGGAAATCCATCTTTCCACTCTTCTCGCATCTTCCGAAAGTCCAGCTTGCCTCCATGGCCAACCGGGCAGCTCCTCTGGGGCTCAAGTTCGCAAAGCGCATTTCCCCTGCCATCACACATTTCGTTATTGATACCCTCGACCTCTCGTCCGAAAAGCTCTACGTTTCGCTTATGGCTTGCGCTGAGATTGTCAATCATGCGTGGTGGGAAGAGGTGTGCACAAGAGCCAGCACGCCTAGAGGAGAGGAGGGCAGCTGGGAGGATGAATTTGTTCAGCTGGAGAGAACGGCACGGTGGACTCCTGAATTAGAAGATGGCTTTACCGAAGCATTCCTGGAGGTGGATGAACGAAGAAGGTCTCTCTTCGACGGTCTGACCGTGGTCCTGCTTAGTGACGCAAGCACACAGTCTGAGGTGATCTCTCAACTGAACCTCGGTGGCGCCCTCGTCGAAACTATAGATCTGCTAGAGGCAGAGACTACCGCGGTATCTCTGCTTCCTCAACTTTTATCCATGCAGAAAACAGCGGTGGCAGGACTACAAATATCGACAAGCGCAAACAACGGGACTCAGAGCAGTGGTTTACGTGTAGTGCTTGCGAAAGACTCAGTGAAGGAAGCATTAAGAAGAACTTGGGTGAAGTACGAGAAGATTGTATCAAGGTATGTTTTGTCGGCACCTTGCCAGTCGCTATTGTTCAACCCCCCTTCATAGTCTGGGTCTCTCCATCATGACCCTCGAGGATATCCATCATTGCATCTTAAGGGTTTCCACCGAATTCCTTCCCAATGCGCATGCTCCCAGGCTTTCACAAGCACCCCACCCTCAGCTTGTTGCTGAGTCTGAATCGCACATCGAATTCCCATCTGAGGGCCCTCGACGAGAAAGTATTGGACAGAGCAGTCTGCGTGACGAAGTGCCCGCTGCGGTACCAGAGGCCAAAGGAGCCGAAGACATTCAGAGCACCCTTGCAACTACTCAATTGAAGGTACGCAGCTCAATTCTATTCATTTGTTTTTCCTCTCTTTGCTGACGAGCCCGGCAGCGCCGTCGAGGGCGAACACTTGTGGAAGATCTTTTGGACGATGACGATGACGATGCATTGCCTCCTGTTCCTGTCGCAAGAGGATGCACGCCAGATGCATCGCAAACGACCCGCAATGTAGCTGTGCGTCCTTGAACACTATGATTTGTCCAGGACTCACGCGCACGTAGCCCCCATCCACTACGAGAAAGCGTAAGCGCACTGTTTTGGAGACTGTTTTCGATGATACGATAGAGGAAATTCCGGAGATTGAGCCTGAGTACAAACGATTGAGGCGGGAAGAAGAAGAACGTGAGAGCAGTGAAAACTATCAAAAAGCAAGCGAGCGTGCTGCCGCTGTCATCGAGGCTGTGTATCGTCAACACCACGGCGAGTCGGTACAGCTCCCAGCAATGACGCAAGAGGAGCTGGCCGCCACGAAGGAAAGAAGACGGACTGCAGCCTCACTTCTGGAGGACGAAGACGTCGTCATCACAACTTTGGGAAGAAAAAGAAAAGCCGGTGAAATCGAGCAGGAAGACCTGCACGCAACCGGTTCGGGCCCACCGCAGAAGCGGCCAACGCGCGCAGGGACTCAGGACGTTGATCTGCGGCACCAACCGCGCACTTTGCCAAAACCGACGGCCCACGACACCCCTCACAATACACTTGATCCGGCAACACGTCGTCTTGCGACAGATACACACAGTTCTACCTCCCAAAGACAGAAGCCTCTCGCAGGTACAGAAATTCCGATGGATACCGATCCTCAGTTCCTGCAAGCCCTTGCTTCACGTAAACGGGGCAAAAGAAAGGAAGATCAATTTGATCGCGACTTTAATGCCCTACGTATCTCTGCCCCCATCAAGGAACAAGCCTTGGCCTCAGGACCAGCACTTGATGATTATCGTATCATGGATGACCTCGACTTCGGTGGTCCGGCGCCGGTCGGTAACTTCATGAAAGTGGTCTTGACTAAAGAAGTGTTCCGGAAGGACCGCAGTGCTACCAATCCAGAACGTGTACCTCGGAATCCCTCTTATGGTATGGACGAAAATGGAGTCTGGACCGGGCAGAAGCCGTGGGACGACCCTAAATGGGGAGCAAGACCCAATTATAAAGCGTTTGTGAAGGTTAGCCTCTTCGACACTGTGTCCCCTATGAAGTAACTGAATTCTTTATTTGTTCAGAACACCAAGCGACCTCTTGAACGTCAGGTTGTCGCGCTCGCCCTGCCTCCCGTAGAGGATTACGGGATGGGAACCGGTGCGCGTGATTTGTGTCACGCTGTGTCATTCTGACCCGCATACAGCATACTGGAAGGGAGACGAGCCTTCTGGACGATCAGCTTCAAAGGCTCAGAATCGACCTAACGTGCGGCGAGGCACATTAGGACTATCCCGGGACACTGATGGAGACTTCGGCACCTCGGATGTGGCTTACTCGATGGATAAAGGACGGAATTCCCACGAGCTTGACTCAGCCCACCCAATTAGTGCAGCACCAGGTCGCTCAGATATGGACAACTCCGGCATTGCTCTTCAGCGACGCAGCAGGTCTCGAGAACATAGTGTTGGGCTCGTGGCGTCTGCCTCTCGTACAAGCGTCAAATCTAAAATCCCCACCATCCATGAAGACACAGATGTTCGTCCTGCAGATCGAACCGTGCGCAACACAAGATCGAGAGGCTCGACCGCAGTTGCTACTTCTCGGAAGAGCGGCCAGAAACAGATAACAGACGATGAAGTCAGCATTGCTGATACGGACGATGCCTTGCCAGACGTAAGGAGACGTGTTCGAGGTAGTAGAAAAGCAGAATCCACCCTCATCTCGAGTGGTGGGAAAAGAACTCCAGCCGTATCTCAGCGGGAAGGACGGAAGAAAACGCAAGCATTGGCGGCGCAGGACGATTCGGACGAAGACATTAGGGTTAGAAGGAAACGTAAATTGTAGAATGCCATTCCTATGTAAACACGATTGTAGTTAATTCTAACCTAAACCCCTGCTCGTCAATGGCATGGGGATTTCCCACAATTAAGGGCGCCATTCCGGTCGCTGCAATCTTCTTAATGATCACGACACTGGATGTGATGAGCTGGGCTAAAGTAACAAAGCTGGGGGACGGACTGAATGCCGCAGACGGCCCGAGAGACGTAGTTCTCCACTTGAATAACGGCGCACACGGCAACCTGTTTCATAGCCACAAGTGTGTTAAGCTGGGTGCTGAGCATGACCATCCCGGAAGACTAATTTTGTTTTCATCCCAGAAAGGACAATGCTATTGCAGCATGAAAGGCACATGACACAATACGAGTGTAAAGTCCTCGTCCCAGGATAGATGTTCTACACCATGAACAGGCCAAGTGGAGAGCAGCTGAAGGTTGTCCCCAGTCCAGTCCCGCGGCACTGGGCTGGCGACCATTTAGCCCCTACTGAAACGCGAGGATTAAAAAACAAAACAAGAAGCACGATCACTCCCATGAAATGGAAGGCACGAGGAATACACCTCGGAACTGCTGGGCGGGATTTTATCCTCCAGAAAGTAACCTTTATAATCTTGCAGCCCTCATTCAACTCAGATGCAAGATCCCTAACCCGTCTGCTAAGGCGCTACGTTCGAGTCGTAGTCTTGAAAAAGGTGGGCGATCGCGAGACGTTGAAAGGACCGGTGAGGACGTTTGTCATTTATGTATGGTTGAAAGAAACGAACAATATTTGTCCGCCGGCAAGATGGCCGAGCGGTCTAAGGCGCTACGTTCAGGTCGTAGTCTCTTCGGGGGCGTGGGTTCGAATCCCACTCTTGTCAGAGAAACATTCTTTTGTTGGCTGCTCTCTCCCGGCCTTTCCTCTCTCGTTCAGGGACCCTACCACTCGTGCGGCGTCACTGTTGCCCTAACACCCTTCGGTGTTGTTTTATACCGGGTATAACAAGGCCACATGAATTTCCATGCTTTCCTGTCTTGCCTGATTGGCACAAGTACGGCTCATATTGTTTCTATTCAGAAGGCCAGAGTCTCAAGTACAATAAGAAATCCTATTCGAGAGCGGCCCGAAGACTTTCGCTTTCACTACGCCATCCGCGCACTTTTGGCAATGTTAGGATGGTCCCTGAACAAAAACTTATCAAACGAGGCTTACTTTCTGCGGCGGAAAAAATCGTCTGTGCAACGCTGTAGAGGTACAGCTCAGTCATGCTGTGGATGGAAGAGGCTGGGATGACTTACTAATCAGGACGATGAGTCGCACAGAGGTCCTTAACGAGGATGCAATCATAGCCCTACATTTTGCGTAAGCGAAGCGACTTATGCATGGGTAAACTCACAAGATAGTACGCGTCAACAAAAGTGCTATAGACGCAGTTGTCCGTCGCGGCTGAAATAGCGTTAGACTGTATTACATCGACAAGGCGAGAGGTGGATGGCTTACTTCCACAGAAGAAAGTAGTGGTAATTTCGTTCTCCGTGAGCCACACGTTGAGCGGCTGGTGACCGGTGAGACCACTGAAGCGGGTCTTCCACAGCAACACATCCGTGCCGGCTTTAATCCCTTCCTCAGCTAAAGGCTTGAGCGGCCCGTAAAGGTCTGCATTCCAAGATCCCCTGGCCAGTTTTCCGCCCTTATCGGTGCCATCAGCAAGTTTACCGATGCTCTCCCCGAACGGCACTGCCCCAAAGTCAGGTAGTATCCAGAACACGGAGAAAATACTCACCGCCGTCGCGCTTATGCGACACATCCAGGTAGGACGGCGGGATTGTCTTGTAGTCCCCTTTGTTGAAGCCCATCTATAATAACCCATTCAGACGGAATTCCGACCAAAGTTCAATTCAAATTACGTTGAGCCAGACCACGGGCATCCCCGCCTGACGGCATGCCTTAACAGTTTCAATCATGGCTGGAACCATCTCCGTTCCGCATCTTCCAGGACCGCAATCATCACTGACGAAGTAGTCTACGAATCATATTAGGATCCCCGATGCCCCTTAATGACAGGTTTGCGCACTTTGCATATCGACAATAACCAAGGCACTCCTCTTCGGCAGAAAGAAGATATCTTCCTTACTTGTCTTCATGGGCTTCCCACCACCCTCACCACGAGTCAGGTCATAGCCTTTCTCAGTCTTCACCCAGCTACATCAGCTTATTAGCGCCAGTACACCCCTGAACATCCGTCGTACAAGTTTAGGGCATTGCCAATCTTGAGTTCTAGCATATTTGAACAGAAAGTTGAATATCGTGTAGGAGACCTAGAGGGGGACAAATTCAGACGTACAGCTGCAAGAAGCACATTGCTATGACTGACGTTCTCTATATAACGTTACATCGGAAGCCATGCGGAAGCGCCCATAAACCTCCACGCACTCGGGCATGCCGAGTGCTATCATTGGTAGGATACCGCGCCGGCAAGAATGATTTCCAGACCAGAATTTCAGTCTGTATTTGAACCCCGGTTGCCGTATGGACTTGTCTAGCACACCGCGATCATTGTGCATTCTGTGTCCGATTGTTTACCATCAGCGTCCTTCAAGGACCTGTCAGATCGTTAGACCAGATAATTCCTCAATGCATGTGCTTACAAGAGCCCTTCACATCTCCATACGATCCGGCACGAAAGACCAGTGCGACCTTCAGAAAGCAAAGTCCATACCAGTTCTGCCCGTTTGCATGGCTCCGCCAGTCGCTCGGCGGACCTGCAACACCTCTAGGCTTGGCATAAATGCTCTGATGCCGAAAAGAGGCGCTATCTTGCGTTACTGTGCCGAGGTGGCACAAAAGATCGCATTATTGATGTCTAGCCTGAGGGTAATTTTAGAGATAGATCGGTTGCAATGTCCTTATCGCTGACTGGATGATAACCAAATGTGGCGTCAGGGTGAAGTACGGAAAGAGAGCGGGCGACGCGGAACGCCCTCTCTAGGGCGTAGAGCGGCTTGTGCTGAATGAAAGCATCCCCTGATATGAGCGTCGACGTCAAAATTCCAATACTTACCATAAGAATAAATAAACCAGATCTCAGACCAAACATTTGACTAGACTTCACCATGCCTTCACCGGCTGTCCAATATTTCATGTTTCAAACCCATTGTCGAGCTTCGGTTCTTCGTTGTCCAATCGAAATAGTGGCCTTACTTGTCTATTCTGCTTCTCTCCGTGATGTGGAGATGAAACTAAGGCAGGGGATGCGCTCCGAAGGCAGCGGAAGATTGGCCGTCAAAGTTTCACGTGCCTCTTTTATTCGGATGTTTTGCTCGACCAATGAAAGTCTTCAAAAGACTCGCAACCTCCATAAATCAGGCACACGATCACAAGGACGGCCTATCGCACATATTTGCCGAATATGCATCGGGCGAGCTGTGATTGCTTTGGATAGGTGATGTGGTGTGTGTGAAGTCGGCTTCCATTGAGCCTATCGGCCCGACCGAGCCTCGGCATCGACAGGATTGTGGGGAAGGTACCGGTACACACACTGTTATTTTCATCTGAACCAGGGCGGACCCCAGGGGCTCGATAGTGATCGGCGGGAGGTTCTGTCAGTGGTGCAAAGTTTGCCGAGCGATACCGAGATACCGATAACGGAACAAAGGTTATGAGTGTTTGCATTGCCACCACATGGAGGCAGACCATGAATATGAACTCTGAGCGGAATCTCTCCGTCTCCACCTCTTTGCCGTGCCTATCAATTCTACCTCTATCTCGGCCGGCAACAGAATGCGTTCTCTTGCAGCAACACCTCGTCCCCTCCATTCGATTGCGAGGCACTCTGAGGACTATATGTAGCGAGTTGATAATGAAGCTTCTGTACTTCCTCCCCCCACTTTCATCCCTCTTCTTTAGTTCTGGGCCGATTTTCACAAATCATGTCTAAAACTGAAGCTACACACCGGGTTACGATCGCCCCAGTCGAAAATGATGAGGCAGTCATCGCTGAACTCTCGTCGAAAGGCGCGACTCTTCACCCTCTCGACAACGTTACTGGTGAAGCAAACAAGGGAATGGGCAGGTGGTATTGGTTCACGGGGATCTTCGACTGGTACCCGAAGCATATGAGTCGTGCCGAAAAGCGCCTCGTCCGCAAGTTGGATATTGTTATTCTCGCTTTCTGCTGCGTTCAGTTCTTCTTGAAGTATCTCGATTCCACTAATAGTAAGTGTGAATATGCCATGCTTCACACTCCACTCATCATGGAACCTAGTTACGAACGCATACAACTCTGGCATGTCCGACGATCTCAAGCTCTTCGGGAACGAACTCAACTATTTCAACGTAACATACAACTGCGGCTACATGCTGGCACAGATTCCTATGCTTCTCGCTCTTTCTCGACCGGGCTGGGCGCGCTGGATCTTCCCTGGTGCAGAGCTTATATGGGGTGCTATCACCTTCACCCAGTCGAGGGCACAGAATGCTCAACAGCTTTACGCCATCCGGTTTCTTCTCGGAATTGTTGAGGTGCCGTCCTTCTCCGGTACCAACGTAAGTCCGAAGGCGCATCGTTACCTGATCATAGAGCTGATTATTTTCTCAGTACATCCTGGGGTCTTGGTACACATCTGAAGAGATCTACAAACGCGCTGGTACATGGTACATTTCCTCCGCACTTGGCTCCATGTTCTCCGGTTACCTTCAGACTGCTGCATATAACGGTCTCAACGGCGTTGGTGGTATGGCGGGTTGGCGGTGGCTCTTCATTGTAGATGGCATTATCACTCTCCCTCTCGCTTTCATCGGATTCTTCACTTTCCCTGGCCTTCCCAGCTCTAAGAAGCCGTGGTTCTTCTCGGATGAAGAGCATGATCTTGCCCTCCAGCGTATGGCAAGGCAGAAGAACAAGGTTCCTGGAAAGATCACTGGATCCACGTTGCGTCGAGTCTTTACATCGTGGCGTTTCTACATCAGCATTTCGATGAACATGATCTACAACCTCACTTCTTACCCCACCAATTACATGTCACTCTACCTCAAGAAGGCGACCGATTCCCAAGGCCACCTCAAGTACACTATCCAGCAGGTCAACACTATCCCTACTGGTGTTTCCGCGGTGTCGGCCTTCTCCTCCTGGCTCACAGCGTCTCTAGTGAACGTTGTACCGATCACCACTCTCTTCATCGTTATCAACGTATCTGGACTCTTCTGCAACATTATCTTGCGTATTTGGAATGTTCCAGAAGGCTTAAAGTTCTTGGCTTACTTCGGTCTCGGTATCAACGGCGCAAACAACGCTCTCATGTTCGGGCTCGCGAACCAAATATGTCGCCGTGATAACGAGCTGCGTGCTGTCGCTATGGCAGGGATGCTCATGGGCGGATGGATGCTCAACGCGTGGGTTCCCGTGCTGGAGTGGCCGACTGTCGATGCGCCCCGATGGCAAATCGGCTACACCATCCAAATTCCTATGATCTGCTGGCTGTTGTCAGACTGCCTCTTGGCTGTGTACCTCCATCGTCGCCAAGAGCAATGGTATGCCAAACATGGGGAGGAGGAGACAACAGACGAGATGGTTGCTGAGTCCGATGAGGCAGATTACGATGAGAAGAAGGAGTAGTTGGGCACGATTCGCATCTTCTGTATTCAGTTTTTGGGCTATAACCGTGATGTGTGTATGAGTCACGACACTGATCAATCACACGATCATGACTAGAGAGAGAAGGTACACTGGCATAACGTATAAACTGATTATTGTTGTAAAATGCATGTGTCCGGGCCGGGGTGATGTCTCTTTGCCAGAAAATCCCTCCAGCCCATAGTTATGTCAATATGAATGAACAACCGGAAGTTCTTGGTGTTCAGCTAGGCATGCCTGACGCCGCTGGTTTCACTCCAAATCTTGAATCTTTCTACTACCTCCGGAGTGATTCCGCGCCTCGCTGTGTCGATAGACTCTCGAAAGTGCCGGATTCCAACCTGGAATTACACCATAAGCAAACGGCCGTACTCGGTGACTGACACAAACAAAAGCGGCATCGATATTCTCCTTCATAGCAGCGAGGGCGGCCTCTTGACAGAGAGCGGCAATCTCCGCACCAGAACATCCTGTAGTCTACGCCACTCAGCTGGGCGTTAGACCATATAAACAGCCCAGATGACATACCTTCACTGCAAGATCGTGGAAATCTATTCCGGGCTCAACTGCCATTTTCGCTGTTCGGATCTTCAGAATCTCCATCCGAGCCTCGAGATCTGGAGGCCCGACATATAGGATTCTATCCAAACGGCCTGGACGCATGAGTGCCGAATCCTGTGAAAGTTGAGGCCGTCTCCGCGCGAGGTCAATTTCACCCTGCTTACAATAACGTCTGGTCTGTTTGTCGCGGCAACGATCGTCACACCCACGAGCTCCTGGATCCCATCCATTTCATTTAGCAGCGTTGTAAGCATGCCCTCGTGTGCGCCTCCCGCATTGTCCCCCGAAGTCCTCATGCTCCCGAGAGCGTCGATTTCGTCCTCCTATGTCTAAGCACAGGATACGGTCATTGACTTGAATCACACCTACAAAGAAGATGATGGATGGAGCCGCAGCGCGCGCTTTGCGAAAGATCTCTCGAATGGCGCGCTCTGATTCACCCACATACTTGTTCAGCAACTGGAGGTAGATTAGACATATGAGGTTCTGTACTGTGCCAGGCATGCATACCTCCGGACCCTTCACAGCTAAGAAGTTTATACCACTCTCGGTAGCCAGCGCTTTCGCAGTAAGTGTCTTGCTGCAGCCAGGTGGACCGTATAGCAGAACGCCCTTAGGCGGGGTGACTCCTAAACGCTCGAAGGTCTTCGGATAGAGCAGTGGCCATTCCACGCATTCCTTTAGCTTTTCTTTGACCGACTGCTGGCCGCCGATATCCGACCATCGGACAGAAGGTGTTTCGATAAACACTTCGCGCATCGCAGAAGGTCGGGTGCCCGGCAGAGCGTTCAACAGATCAGCATTAGTCAGCTCGGCGGTCATTTTGGGCGCTGCAGTCAACTTAGATGCATCCAGCCACCTGTGGATAGCTAAAGTTCCCGCATCTCGAACGAGTGCGGCGAGGTCGGCACCGACATACCCGTGAGTCCGGTCAGCCAGAGGCTTTAGTGTATCATCATCCAACGAATGAGGAATTCTGGCGAGCAGGACGTGTAATATTGCCAATCGCGCTGTGGCATCGGGTATCCCTGCGAAGCCGTCAACTCAGTGGGTGGTGCTGAGACATAAGATAATTGACGCACCAATTTCTATCTCCCTATCAAATCTCCCTGGTCTGCGCAAAGCTGGATCGATCGTGTTCACTCGGTTTGTAGTCCCGACAACAATAACTCTTCCTCCCTCTTTCTCGTCCTCATCCGCCATTCCGTCCATCAAGGTCAAGAGCGTAGCCACCACTCGTTTCTCAACCTCGCCCGATCCCTCTTCCCGTTTGGGGCACAGCGCATCCAGCTCGTCAAGCACGATTACGCAGGGACTCTGCTTTCTGGCTTTTTGGAAAACTTGACGTAATGCTGCTTCTGTCTCGCCATGGTAGGCTGAGGAAAGTTCGGGTCCGTGGATGAGGATCAGAGAAGATCGGGTGGATGTCGCGATAGCGTGAGCAAGACGCGTCTTGCCTGTACCGGGCGGTCCGTGTAACAAGACGCCTCTGGGTGGTTTGATCCCTGTACCAATTTGAGTTCAGCCCCGTATCTTCGCACTGGTGTGAAGTACGCACCAAACCGGCGGAATAGGTCAGGCCTTTGCAAAGGCAGCTCAATAAGATTCCGGATCTCGGCAATCTGTCGATCAAGCCCGCCAACAGAGGCAAACGCATTCATCTCCTCATCATGATCCATGGTTGGTGCAGATATCGAATGAGCCTTATTACCGTGAGTTTCTGGACGATGATTTTTGCGAATGATGCTTACCACGATGGCATCAGGAGCAGAATCGGGTTGGCTGTTCGTCGGTGCCGACGTGTCCTTTAAGACCACATCTGTGTCCCATCCCACTAATCGTACTTCAAACGGAGAGATAGGTCTGCGTAATGATAGACCATTCAGCCTCTCGCTAAGGGCGAACACGTCCTCCGGTACTTGTGCTTCGTTTTCTGCCCAAGATACTCGAAATTGGTGCGCGACGCCGTGATACTCTACATTCAAGATCTGTGACGTCGTGATATATTTCACATCTACTATAATAACATTCAGCATTGACGTGCGACCCATGCTGGCGGCGCGTACCCAAGAGCTCCTTAACATACGCGACAAGCCTTTCTGCCTTAGACCCGGTAGACAAAGTGCCCCCTGGTTTTCCAGAGAGGGCGCTGCAGATGAGGCTGGAGGCCTCCTTGATCTCTGGCGGTGTTAGGCTGCTGGTGGAAGCGACACTGCTGATGGTCGATAGATGAGCTTTGGATCCGTCTTGCACACCGGCGGTGGCGGTTAAGGTCGAGGATATCTGGATACCTCGACATACGGTCAGTATCCAAATCTCCAAATGGTAATATACGAACTGTTTGATGGTAATGAGGCATTTGGCCATACTATACCAGCCGCGAACGGTTCCTGGAGCAGATGAGCATACGTTGAAACAATGGTGAGAAATATGGACGTACTCCATCAACAGCACGAAGAGCGAGCAAGTCCCCCGTTGCGATCTTTGCCCCTTTGATAATATCGTTATTCAGGAATATGCGCCTTACTGCCCCTGCGAGTGGCTCATCAACGACCTTGACGTTAAACGTGAGCGTGTCGAGTGACATCGCCGTCCACAGAAGGCAAAAGTGGGCGTCAAATTCCAACACATCATTCCCAAAACGGGCGATCCCTGAGCTGACTAATCCCATGCCAATAGGCTTCTCCCCTTTCCCGAAGATCTGGACGCCGAGTCAGCCTTTAGGCTGAACACCTACAGCATTTCTCATACCCCCAGCACATCCGTTGTGCTGTCTCTGTCAGAACGATGTCCACGCCCGGCACGCAGACGACCTTTTCTGCAGAAGACTACTTCCGTACGCAGCACCCGCCCCCGACGCTGGAGCATGATGTAGAGAAGGTCCGGGCGTTTGTGACGAGACATAGGGAGGAGGGGAGACCGGTCGTGCTTGTTACGGTGCGATTGTGCGATTAGATCACTGATAGGAGACCTTATGCGCTGCTGTTAGAGTGGGGGGACGACGGTGCCGCTGGAACGGAATGTGTACGTCCTGGACTATGATATGATGCCCGCATCTGATTTCCTTACAGTGTGCGATTCCTAGATAACTTCAGTGCTGGTAATCTCCACCCTCCTACTCTCCATCCTGGGCTGACCTATACTAGGAACGAGAGGAGCGACATCCGCCGAGTACTTCCTCCAAGCGGGGTACGCGGTCATCTTCATGCACCGGCAGTTCTCCCTTCAACCCTTCAGCCGGCACTTCTCCCACTCCACCAACCCCTTCCTCGAGTTCCTCGAAATCGGGCCTTCGAACCCCATGTCCCCGATTGAACCAGGCTCAGCTTCGGAGGAAGGCGAAACAGTCAAAGTCCTCCCCTCGATGCGGAAGGAACTCCTGACCGTCCTAAGGCAGTATCATGCTGTCCAACGGGCAGGCACGCTCCTCACGCTCAACTTTGTTACTGTGGATGACTACCTGTTCATGCTCCGCGCTGTGGCTCAGGAACTCGAGCCTCTCGGGAGGAGGGCGATGTTCTACCTCGCGGCGGCAGTGAGCGACTTCTTCCTCCCCACGCAGAAGATGGCAAGTCCCAAATCTGATCTGTCAAACTGATCGTACCCACTGAACGCTACGCAGTCCGAACACAAGATCCAATCCGGAAAGGGGAGCTTGCAGATAGAGATGGACCAAGTTCCCAAGATCCTCAAGCCGCTACGGGATTACTGGACTCCAGAAGGCTTTATCGTATCCTTTAAAGTCCGTCCTGTTTCCCTTCCTTCCGGGTGCTCGACTGACCTACGCGGGCAGCTCGAAACCGACCCTTCGCTGCTGATCCCCAAAGCGCGCCAGGCGCTCGAACGCTACGGGCACAAACTCGTGATAGGAAACGACCTCTACCGGCGGAAATTCGAGGTCGTGTTCGTGGAGAAGGACGCGGACTCTAAGGACGGGTTTAGGGAGACGTGGGTCCGGTTGCCGGAGGGGAAGACGGAGATCGAGGAGGAGATGATCAAGAAGCTTGTGGAGATGCATGCGGCGTATATGAGAGAGGGAGAGATCAAGAATTAGAAAACGGAATGGAGACTTGGTGTACCAGCATGATTGATCCTGATTGTATCAAGAAATGAAGTTATTTATTAAGTATATGCTGTACATGGGGTTTCCGGAGATTGGTGCACAAGCCAGATCTTCAGTACACGAGTGAGCTGGTGAAGTTTAGTTTAGAGTCACAGGTAACGGCGCTAGCGACACGCAGACCACGCTGAGGACAAAGCAAGGCACAAGCCAAGGAACGGCTGGGAAAGGCCGAGCACGGCGGTGGATATCGCCGTGCGGCGCTGGAATGCCAGGTGCTGATGGCTGGCGGTGTGCACGCGGTACAGTGATATGAGGTGTGGGGTTTAATGTATAGGGGGATTAATTGGGGTTTGGTTCTGGGAGGACGACCATAAAGAAGAAACCGCTGGTCCAAGAATAGCACCATTGTTCTCAAAAATGGAATTTTCTGTACCGAAAATAGGAAAGTAGGGAGATGGAAGGAAGAGAAGGGGCGGACGTAAAAGGTACATGTGGTGTGTGTCGTGTTGTCGTTGTGAGCATTGTGCTGGTTGGCAGTGCATGAGGGTGGATGGGTGGATGGGTGTGCCTGTGTAGTGTGGACTAATAACCTTTGACCCCTCGAATGCAAAAAGGGGGTTATTGTCATAATTAAGGTGGGGGAAAGGCCAAGGTGTAGCCAAGTGGCCAAGGTGAGTGATGATTCCGTGCTGACACAAAGGGGTTATGCTGTGATCGGAAGCAAACCATGCGGTTGTTTTGCAACAGCCGAATGGGCTGTATAGATGCCGAGACTATGTCCGCTCTAAACGGCATTTGATCCCTTTCTTCCCTTCACCTTTCTATACTCCTCACTCCTCTTGCACCTCTTTCACCCCCCCGCTGTGCTCCTCCTCTCTCCTCTGTAACATCCCCTCTTCATTGCTTTCTGCTCGCAGTCGTTCTTTATCCAACACTCTCTCTTCACTCCCTTCTTTTACCATCCCTCCCTTCTCTCACCATCACCCTCCCAAAATGCGCTTCCCAACACTCTCAACAATCGCTCTCGCAGCACTCGTATCCGCCCTTCCATCAGAACACCATCTCGCAAGGAGGGACATATCCCATGCACGCATCGCTCGTTCCGTCTCAGAGCGCGCACCGGAACCACTTCCCGTCGCTGAACCTCTCCTAGTACCTGTGGCGTCTGAGAAGAAAGCCCGCGATCCGAGCAAGAGGTGCAAGAAGAAGCATAACCCTAACGCAGCGGGGTCGAGCTCTTCCTCCAATTCGGCAACTTCGAGTTCGACCTCAAGCTCGGCTGCCTCTACCCCGACTGACTCTGGTAACTCGGGGAATAACGGTGATTCCGGAAATAACAACAACAACAACGGAAACTCGGGTAACTCAGGCAACTCAGGCTCAGGCGGTTCTCCATCCACCAGCGGTCTTACAACCGCTCCCTCATACTGCGGTGGACCCTCGGCCGACTCCAACTCCCCCAACGGCCAAGAATGGTACCTCAACTGCGGGATGACCGGCGGAGGCTGGGCACCCCCCTTCGTCACCCTTGACCAGCTCGTTACCGTCCCTCTCCAGGACGCGATCAACTCCGGTTCAGGGGTGTTCGACCCTTGCTCCCCGTACGTCGACACCTTCCAGCAGGTCTCCCAAGCTACCGGCGTTCCGGATATCTTCCTCGCCGCGTTCGCCATGCAGGAATCGACTTGCAACCCGGGTGCTGTAGGGCCTAACGGCGAGCAAGGGCTCATGCAGCTCACGGTGGACAAGTGCGGTGGCGCCCCAGGCGGGAACTGCCAGGACGTATACTTCAACATCAATACTGGCGCCAACTACATCCAGTCCACTATCTCCGCCGCAGGGGGGAACGTCGTCCAGATGGTGGGGATGTACAACGGGTACACGCTCGGCCAGACCATCGCTTCCGTCATCGCGAACCCGAACTGCGGCGCACAGCAAAACTTGGACTACCTGAACGAGTTCTTCAACTACTGGATCGTTAACCGCGACGCTGGACAGTCCGGCGCGGCGCAGTACAACAACCAACAGCTGTGCTCCGCTGGTCTCTCGTGGCAGATCTCTACCTCATAAGCGGCTGCGCTCACACCTTGGTCGCCCCCATCGTCCTTTTCCTCCCTGTTCCGCTTCTTCTCAAGTCGATTCGCTCACGCCGGCACGCTATCGGACGTATTCATGTATCAATAGGCTCCTGCCTGCCTCTTCCTTTTTCACCGCACAAGCCCTGGTCGACCCAGCCCCCGCCAGCACCCAGCTGGCCCATACCCATGGCTTCCACCTTCCTCTGCCTCTTACGGTCCGCTCTCACTCGCATCGATTTACCAACCCAATTCCATCCAATTCCATCCAATTCCACCTGTTCATCCCACACCCTACGCGTCCGGACGCCCCCCCTCTTCTCCCCCTTACCTACTTCACACCCTCCTACTCTAACCATGTAACGCCAGGTCTTCAACTAGGCCAGAGTGGGCTTAACAAGCTTGCTTTACACAACTTCATCTTATTACTCGTGACTCTTCATTTGTGAATGATCAGTTGGAGCTTGACGCTCTTGTTTATGAGGAAATCTTGATTGTGTGAACGTGTGACTGTGGGACTGCGTGAGTGAGTGGGTTGTAAGGTGCAAGGCTGCCTGTTTTGTGGGTTTGGGACGTGAGGTGAGGTGTGCGGCACTCATGCATAAAGGCTGCGATGGCGTGCAGAGGTAGTATATTCCATTTCGCATTTTCATTAGATCAAACAACACCTCTCACCTCCCACCTTATTCCTCACCACACACACACACACACACACCCCTCCCCCTCAAACCTTCCTAACCCCCCAAACCCACACGACCCTCCCTCCAACCCTAACTTCCCTCACTCCTTCCTTCTCCCACCCGTGCAGCGCCCGGTCCAGACCTCCTCTAGCAGCGGACATCAGCACTCCTCCCCCTCCCCGTCCCCCACACCCACACCCACGCCCACGCCCACGCCCACCCCCTCCTCCCCCTCTCCCCTCTGCACGCATGACTTCAGCCAGATGCAGCATCAGTTTTGGGTAAAAGACCTTCACTTGCCGCGGAGAGAGATGTCTCGTCCCCCAAGGAAGGTCAGTTATGAACCCATCCACGAACCTTAGTGGCAGGCTCTCGAGCGCCGTGTACTGGATCTTTTCTATGCACTGACAAGGGTCTGCTAGCGCAGAGAGGGATATGTCGCCCCCTAGGACGAATATGGGGTGCTTGCGCTCTTTGGCTAGGGCAGCTAGTTCCCGTGGGATGGAGCAGGTGCCTGCGCAGGGGTCGAGCACTACCACAGAGTTAGGGAAGAGGGAGATATATACCAGCGCTAGGAGGTGGGCTATAGGCGGGGAGAGGGATGTGGGCCCTTGGAGCGGTGGGAGGCGGTGCGCTGGGGTGGGAGGGGGAGGGAAGGAGAGAGCGAGGAGGGCCCAGAGGGAAGGGGGAAAATGCTGGCTCTTGAGAGGGGGCTGGGTGAGCTCCGGCGCTGGGAGGAAAGGGGGGAGGGTGTGAGAGGTCCATTTGGGGCCGAGAGGGAGGAGACGGACGTGCACGTCTACCCCTGGGTTTGTGAGGTTTACGCTCCACTGGTCGATAGGCAGGAAGAGGGAGAGCGTGTCCCCCAAATGACGTTCGATGTCTCGTCGCCTGAGAGTGGAGAGTGGGAGGAGGCGAGAGGGGTTGGAGAACGTTGCCCGGAAGGAGGGAGGGGGGTGTAGGAGGGAGATGGATTCCTGAAGTTGGGAGGAATGGGAGGTGACGAGCTTGTGTAGGGAGGAGAGGAGGAGGAGTTCGCCTGCCGTGGGTGTTGGCCGTTCAGCGTGTAGCGGCTCTCCTTCCTCTGCCTCTTTAGGCTCTTGAGTTTGTTCCTTATGTGCTCGGGCAAGCCGTTTCCTCAGCGCGTTCTCCCTCTGGTTCTCTCGTGCCTTCCTCCCCATCTCCCTCTCCCTTTCCCAGAACTCTTCCCCCAACACCGGGTGGACATCATCCAGCGACACCTCAGCCACGCAGATGAACGCCTCATAGACAGCCCATAGTGCGCCTGTGGCATAGATCTGGATCGCTTGCGTGAGGAGAGCGTTGGATGGGAAGCGGATGAGGACGTGTGAGGAGTGAAGAGGTGCTGCTGTTTTTATCTGGGCTGAGATGTGTTCGCCTAGTTGATGAAGGATCGATGATAGTGCATAATCCTCCAGGCCTGGATGGATTAGAGTGAGGGGATGAAGAGAGGGAAATAGCGTACCTGTTGGGACGTGGAATGCGATTGTTAATATTTCAGTGTCTGTCATTGCATCGCTGAGATGGTCAAGCTGCGTTCAAATTGAATTGTAAGGATGATGACTCAAATAGTAACGTCATTCCTTCATTACGGGCAGATCGGTCTGCGTTCACTTCACCGAATTAGGTAACATGACAAACGTCACTCTCTTTGCACTACTTTTCACTCCCAATGGAGAAACAGTGGATAACACCTCACCGTCCTCAGCACTCATCCCGCTGGTCATACCCATTCAACATCTTCATCATCGCTCTCATCGCTCTCACAACAGCCTGGTACTCCCTCAACCTCACTCCCCTCCCTCTCTTCACCACCCGGGCATCCATCTGCCACACCCCTCTTCCACCAATCCACGCCTACGGCCCGCTTGGGGACGACCACCCTGCCCTCCTCCGCGCTGGGAAACAACTCGAGCGTGCAATCCAATCCCGATGGAAGAAAGGCACTATAGACAGTATCAACCTCGCTGTTGTCACCGCCCATGGCTCTGTATGGGAGATCTCTCAAGGACCGTTGCGGCCCAACGAGACTGACCCGCTGGAACGAGGAGCCGTCGACCGGGATTCGATGTATCGTATCGCTTCTGTTTCCAAACTGTTCACAATGGTGGAAACGCTCGTCTTGCAACAGAAAGGAGTGCTGAAATTGTGCGTCTATTCCTTTCCCAGCAAGTATGAATTGATGATTAGGCAGGGACGACCCCGTCACTCGATTCTTCCCAAACTTCACCTACGTACCGTACGAGTGCCCTACCTCGACCTGTGTCCCAACAGAACCTATCACCCTCCGGCAGCTCGCGTCCCACACCTCCGGTCTCGCGCGTGACCTTCCCGCTGGGAGCGCTACCAACTGGCCGCATGAGCGAAGCGGGGGAGGGCCGCCGCCGATCAACGACCTCCCCTTCCCTGACAGGGATACGGTGCTCCAGTCGATAGCCGCGACCCCGCTGGTAGCAGCGCCCTACACCGCGCCGATCTATTCCAACACCGCGTGGTCCTTGCTAGGCGCGTGTAACGTGCAGGCTAACAAGCTGTTTGGGGAGGACACATCCCCCTCGACGCACTGGGAGCTCTTGGAGCGGGACGTCCTTGTCCCACTCGGTCTAAACGGCACGTCCTTCCTCGCAGCAGAGGAGCTCAAGCCGCGCATCGCGGTCGGCTCGGCCTACCCGGGGGAAGTGGTATGCTGACCCCATCTCTCCCGCCTCGCAGCGCTGATACAGTGCATACTCCGCAGGAACTCGATTTCCTCGACTTTTCCAACCCTGCCGGAGGCCAGTTCTCTTCCCTGCACGACCTCGCCAAGCTCCTCACATCCATCCTCGACCCCAGCACGCCAGGCGCCGTCCTCACCCCTTACACGCTGAGGGAATGGGTCCGCCCTATGCACGCCTTTGGGGACGACAACAACGAGGTTGGCCTTGTGTGGGAGATCATGAAGTTCCAGGACTCGTACGGGACCCGACAGCGCATCTATCAGAAATGTACGTTCTCCTCACGCTTCTGACTCTTGCACCTCCCTCACTGCGCATTGTTTTGTTATATAGACGGGAACCTAGAGTCTTCCCATGCGGCGATTGCCATCAATGCGGAAGCCGGGTTTGGCGTGGCGCTGCTGACGACCTCCCCCCAGTCCCAGACGGCGCCCATCATCGAGGACGCGATCAAGGCTTTCCAGCCTGCGTTCGACCGTCTCCGGCAGGAAAGGGCCATGACCATGTTTGGAGGCGCATGGGAGCTCCCTCCTTCCCGGACTAGGAACGCGAGCGAAGCGAGGATCTCGTTCAAGCAAGGGTCGCTCTGGCTCGATCGGCTGATCCTTAATGGCACGGATGCGCTGCAGTTGCTGGGGGGGAGAAAAGGCGCCAGTGGAAGATTATGGTGGACCGGCAGCGACCAATTCCGGTGAGCTGAGCATTCGCATTCCATCCACTGGCCTGAACGGCTACTTAACGGAGGCGTAGCATCGCCGTGGACCTTCCGGGGTACGAAGGCTGTTTGGGCCAGTGGGCCACATTGGACGAGTATGGACGAAAGCAGGGCTGGGCTATCAATTCCCTCGTCTTCAAAGGCCCGGCTTCGCACCGGTCGCTGCATTTCCCAGCAGCAGCTCTCGCTCTAAGGCGGAAATTGTAGCATCCCTACTGAGAGGCCGAGGAGCAATACATGTAGTCCAATGTTGTAGGATAAGCTACTGCATCGTGTGTTTTCCGGGTCAACAGCAGGCCGCGGTCTAACAAAAGGCATTTGTTCCGCATGTATCCCCATGTGTAGTGCCGCCTGCAACCAGCAACCAGCTCAGGCTGGTCCAAGCCGCGGCTGAATAGCCATCGCGTATCACAGGCTGATCGTTCGGGAGGTACAAAAGCGCTAGCAGTGGTGCACTTCCTCGTCCCTGCGCAGCAGCAGAGATATTGCTCTCGATGCGAAACGATTCTGCCAGTGTACGACAGACTGGGATCGATCTATTTCCTCCACCAGCAGCCGCACAATCCTCATTGTCCAAACTTTCACCCTCGACCATGTACATGAGTCCTGCGTCATCCTCCCCAAGCACAAGTACAAGTATATCAAGAAAGAGCACCGAATCGGTCTATAACGGAAGCTCTTCAGGTTCCAGGTACGGCTAGCGTGCCCTTCCAGCCAAAACACCGAATAACAGGCATAACCCTTGGTTCGCCTGTGAATGTTAACGTTAACGTCTCGCGATCGTATCCCACTGCTCCTGCCGCCTCTCGTCACCCTCGTGCTATACCAAAAGGCTGCATCGTGTGTCCTAAATGCACCAGCCCTAAGGTAGCGTACGCATCCTCAACCGCGCTGGTCGCACATATGGAGAAGGCCCATGGACTCGAAGAGAGCATTGGGTGAGATGGCTTCTGTCATACTTATCAACTGTTCAAATGCAAACGCTTATGATACGATGCTTACCCGGACTTGTACAAGACACGCCTAGAGATACAACATGTAGAATATACAAGAATCATGTGGGTCCTAGCTCAGTCCTAGCTCCCCATCATCAAGAAAAAGGTAGTGAATTGGTAGGCCTACTGTACTGATGTGTTCCGAGAAGTGGTAATTGACCTAAAGTTATGGGGGTGAAACATGACTTGCCCAGGCTGCGATGGCAGAGCGCCGCTCTGCCAGCTCCGCACCAGCCCAAATCCTCGCAACCACGAGGCATGCGTTCTTGAATTTGGCGTCTGGGGATAATGGTCTGTCGTCATCGTCTGAGGTATCTAATCCGTCTTCCGATAGTTCGTCGTCGGTCTGGAGGGAGGGTAGGGGTTGGGAGATGGCAATAGGCATGTCATGCCTGGTCCTGATGCGCTCGGAGCGACGGGAGCCCGCGCTCGGTGCGTGCGACGAAGATGTCTTGTATCGGGTAGGGTCACCCCGTTTGGGCGTAGCTTGCCCCTCTTCGGTTTTACGGATCTTGGTTCGTCGTTTATAGATATCCTCTACCGGGCCTCGCTTCGCTGGGCGACCACCCCTCAGCTCGGGGGTATTGTGACTAAATGCAGTGATGAAGGCGCAAATCCAATGATACATCAGCACGTGTGCGGATGGCGGGATTAGAGGATCGATAGGGCTGTCTTCATTATCACTTTCGTCATCCGTAAAATCGCTGCTGAGCTCGCCATAA